TATAGTTCTCCTCCAGTCTTCATTATGCACTCACAGCAGGGTCAACTGAAAGGCAGAATCAATTAAAGACCAAGATTGGATGCAAGGCAGGGTTCAGGAAAGGATGGTGGGAAAAAGGCCCCAAACAGGGAGAAGCGCAGGAAGCTTGATATGGAATCTGAAAAAATGGGAGGTACAGAGGGACAAGGTGGGCTGACAGACAAAGAAGAGTGATCAAGAATGACTACACCTGGGCAACACCCCAGGAGTCAGTTGGAAGCAGGCACTGAAAGCATCAATGAACTACAAAGAGGAAAGAATGTCGCAACGTGCTGGGAACTGGGGAGATAATATTTCCCCTACTTCTTCCATCCTGCAGTCCCAAATGGCTGACACATTCAAGGCATCCTTCGGATAATGCAAGTTTATGCTCCTTGGCATACATTACCTAATAGTTCATTAAGACCCATCTTCACAAAGGAGTAATGAACTCAGAACAGTCACAAATAGGTCAGTCAGATAACGGAGGGAAAACACACCACCATCCCGTGAAGCAGAAGCAAACAAGTCTATCTGCTGCAACATAACCAATCAGTGCAACCTACTAACAAGTCTTTCAGGAGCAGACATCATGCGCATCTAAAAAAACCCCCAAAACACTGCCTCTCATTTATCATCCAAGGTGGGAAGTGCCAGAAGAGTTGGCCGAGTTCAGAAAGTTAGTCTAATGTGGTAGACAGAAGGCTGAGCTTGAACCGGGACAAGCCATTATTCCTTTCAGCCTGATCTCATGCATCTATCAGCAATATAAGGACCATCGCAGTTCAATCCTGCATTGCAGGCTAGTTGTAGGGATTACAGAGATCAAATATAGGATGCAGTTTGAATGTCCCTGAGTGCTAGGCATTATTCTTATTAAAAGAGGAGGAAATGCCAATTCTGTGCAGAATTGCAGGTCACAGGCCATGGCTGCCCGACTTTCTTCTTATTTCAGGCTTGCACTCTGAGCTTTAAACATCTGATCACGTGGCCCCTATGTGTTCCTAAAAACACCTGGAATTAACTACCGGGATAACCAAGGATTAGGTAGGCCAAACAAACAAGACTTCAGAACATGAGTTCGGAAACCACATTAGCTGCACAGATCACCTCAAAGAGGAACCGAACCGTTGTTCTGTCCAGGGAAATGTGCTTTTGGTTTGGACTGGGACTGGGAGGGCCATTCCTTGCAACCACACAGACAGGTGCTTTTTTCTCGCTACCTGAGACAAAACACTGCAATGTGGCATCCATCTAGCTCACAGATCTTAAAGGTTTGCAGGTGAAGAGCAAACATGGCCAACTATCTCAGGGAGAAAGTCCTTGGGTAGAGTAAGAGGGTAGTTGGAGATCCTTCCGAAGCAGATTTGCTGGGTGGGCAGGGAAGAAAACAAAACTTTCTGAAACATTGCATTTAGTCCACTGTAACGCATCCACAATGCTTAGGTGCATTGCTTTGGATGGGCAGTTGGGAAGGCCCTACAACTCAACCAAGATGAAAGCAAAAACAAATAATTTACTAATAGCAAATAACTTCAGGGACAAGAGTCAGTGCCTGCTACGAAGCCAGAAATGACAGTTCAGGGGGATCTATCGGTGTAGTGCAGTGGCTATAAGAGTGAGGTGAAAGTGTCCTAGTCCATATCTCTAGGTGTCCATAGTGCAGTGGGATTCACCTGCAGCCCATCATCTGCAAAATGGGTTTAATAATTATAGCCTGACTTACAGAATGTTAGGGATCACTGGTGCAGGCAATGCAGGATTTACATCAGAATGACACAGTCTACAGCTGAAACTCCAGTTGAGTTATTAAAATACAAACTTAAAAGATGATCAAGTAAACACGAAAAGTGTGAAGAACACTTGTCAGTCAGTCAGTCAATTTATTGCAGTCCTAGACTAGCACAGAAGCACTTAAACATATAAGTCACAGAGATAGTTGTGTTAGTCTCCTGCAGCAGAAAAAACAGAGTCCTGTGACACCCAGAACCCTCTCCATCATCCGATTCTTTCCCCAAAAGCTTATTCCATCAAGAATTTGTTTTTCTGTAAGATCCTACAAGCCTCTTTGGTGCTTTATCTGGTGTCCTTCTCTGCCAATTCGCTTGCATTCATTTCACTCCGAACAGACCAATAAACATGCAGATTCATTTAAGCTCAGCTTTCCTATCACAGCACTGTAGCTCTTTCAGCCTTCTGTTAACAATGGCAAATTAATTTCAGTTGTAATGTGATGCTTTCCTCACTTTTGAAATATCACTGTTCTATTAGAAAGAGGGGCCAAGTTCAAGCGAGACAGTGAGGAAGGTGCCCTGATGTTCGTTGCAACCCCATCATGCTAAATGCAGGGCTCTGTGGGAACACACACAAAGCAAGTTCTCCATGGAGGAAATCCTTTCCCACAAGTGCCAATCCTTTTAACCATAACGAAGTGGATGGTTCTAATAACAAGCTCTCAGCTCACAGAAACAAGACGATCGCTTTTGCTTAGTCAGGGACTTCAGGGAAAGGCATTCAAGGTCTTCTTTTCTTAGAAAGGCCAGCCAATGAGTTTCTAGAATACTGGATAGTAAATAAAAAGGAAACATGGCTCAAATGGGCAAACAACGCTCCAAAAACCCTTGTGAATTACCCCAGCTGAGCTTTAATTTGTTCAAAATTATATTCCCATTGTTTAAAGTCATGAATGTCAATATCAATATCATGAATACATTTCTAGCAGCCAAGATTGCACACTGAACTTAGGACCATTTTATCAAAGCCAGGGGAGGAAACAAAAGAAAGCAGTTACAGCTTAGATAAGTTGAATGCAACCAAGCTGTGACAACACAGGGAAGGGTTTTAAACATTAAAACGTTGGTTTTCCACGGGCGGTGGTGATTCTTAAATGAATGACTTCCACTTTTGGAATGCATAAGCAGAAGTGCATACCTCCAGAGCAAAGCAGATGCACTTTCTTTCTCATATGAAAGCTCACTGTATGCAGTAGCTCACTACAGAAATTTGTTAACCACCATATGTAAGAAAAATACACCCAGCTGCAAAGATCCTGCTTAGAAAAGGAGGACAGCACTGGGAGAGGCCCTGGCAGAACTGCTGGAGGAAAAGTCTCAGTGTGCCAGCGAAACAACCACAACACTGACTGGGTCCAACTTGCCAGGGCTTTGGGGATCATCACTGAGGCAGCAGGAGAGCATAGCTCTAAGCTACTCAGGAGATTCAGGAGCAGTGAAGCAAAAGAAGGCTAAGCAGTCATCTCTGGTCCACAAGAACCATAGCTGAGAGTCTCCAAGCACCTGGAGAACTGGTGAAGGACAAATGTGAAGGGATGGCAGCATCAGACGAGGTCCATGAGCGGACCAAGAATGCTTGCACTGCCACCACTGGCAAGCAGACAGAGATTCTTTGGGATTTTGTCATAGTCCTACAAGCAGCAGTTCAAGGGCAACAGGTCCCAGGGACTCCAAGATTCTGTGCCACAACCCACTGGAGGTCCAAGGAGGAAGCAGGAGGAGGTGGAATGAAGAAGTTGAGAGAAAGCTGATCAGTTGTCAGGTGCTCCTACAAAGAAGCCACATCCCGTGGCTTATGAACCCAAAGGCTTAGCATGTTGTATGAACCTAGTCAATGGCTGTGCTCTCACACATATCACTAAAGCATAGCTTAATGCCATATGCATGAGACTTGGGTTCATCTGCTCCCTCATTCCCTTTATTACTTTGCAAAGTATTCACTCCTGGTTCTTAACTATGGTTTGAGGAAATAAACCAACATTAAACCATAGTTAAATCTTGGTTTGTTTCCCTACATCATAGTTAAGACTGATTAGTTCAATTGGGTTCTGATGTTCTGATCTTTTCCTTGCAGAAGCACTACTGAAAGGGGAGAGGGGAAAAGGGGAGAACATGCTCTGACAAATCTTTTATATGACGCAACACCACTATTGAGTGTTATGTCTGAACCCAGCCACCACATTATCATTAACTAGCATGCAAGCATTTGAGAGACATGTATTTGCCAGAAAACATGTTGTTCTACAATAAATATCTCTGTTCAGGAAATTTATTGTGTAAAAAGTGGCTCTTACAGGCACCTGAAAAATGACACAATCCATTAATATCCAGATGTTCTAAAAACATCACGCAGAAGTGCCACAAAACAACAAAAGGCTTTGCATAACGAAGTTTTTGCTATTTACAGTTGCCTCTTCAGCAGGTCTAAGTCTGCCCCTTTGTTTCCCACATCCTAGCATCACACATGTGATACATTTATTCACAAAAACACTTATGCAGCTTTCTTAACACAAACTCAGATCATTGTTTTATATCTGATAAACAAAACCCTCTCCATACTTGTGACACAAAGCAGCAGAGATTAAAAAGAAAGAAAGAAACCAAATGTGGGAGAAAGTGAAACTGAAAGATTTACCCATCTATCGGCTTCGCTGCATATCATGTTCCCATTAAAGGGCGCAGAATCTTGCTCAGCAATGCCAAGCAGACATTAATCACTGTTGCAGGTCTTTTCAGCACCTGGCTTAACTGAACATCATTACACATTCAGTTGCTAAATGGCTCTGTTCATGCAGCAGATGATCATATATTTAAACTGGCTGCCTGCTCGGGACATGCATTTGCCACCTCGGATTCTGGATTCAGAGTGGAAAGTCGCACTGAATACGCAAGAGCAGCTTTCCTGCTCTCCGGGAATGTGAATGACTAGAAATGTCAAGAAATCTCTGTCTGGGTGGCACAGACATCCCTCTCCTTCCACTCTCCAGGACAATTCCTCATTGCATCACTGGTACAGAGGATACTTGGGGAGCAGGAGAAGAAGGAGCGATGCCAGGGATCTCACTGCAGAACCGTACTGAAATATGGCAGAAGGCTATCCATGTTCTGCAGAAGCACAGAAGACACCAAGTGCATCAAGATTCTCTCTGCCAAGAGGCCACCGCTAGAAAGAAAACGGGCTTTTCCTACCAGCTGATTTTGGTGTGAACTTGTCCCTGTTCGCTGCGCAAACGGCCAGCAGCCTGTATCCGAGGTCCAGGTCGAATCCCTGCTGTGCTGCCACTCTGCTAACAACCTGAGAAGAAGGAAGAAAGGCAATCATTCACGGAGCTTTATAAGACAAATCAGGACTCGCTCGCAGTGGCATCCCCAGTGAACGAAGCGGCCCCAGTTAGCTTGTCTCTTTAACGCCAAATTTGCATTAGTGTCTGCCTCATGTAGCCTAAGCCCCGTGAGTCCAGCCACTGCTCTTCCATTCGCAGGGTGTGGAACTGAAGTTGGGAGAAGTCAACTTGACTCAAGAAGTCAGCTGAGCCCAGACCTCAGCTTGGCATCTGCTGGAGTCTGAGCCCATAACAACCTGTTCAGCTTCTTAAGCACAGTGTACAATGCATTTGACATGAGACTCTTTAAGCCTAAATGTAAATGACCAAGGCTTATAAGTAAGCTAAGTATTAAGTGGACATGTAATGGAGACAGCTGCTGTATATTTTACTGCATCTGAGATGTGGCTTGAGATCTTAACTAACAGACTCCATCTGAGAGCGGTATTGCCCCGATTATATTTCTCTACACAAAGGACGCTACCCTGGAGCTATGTGGGAGGGGGTGAGCCTGCTGCCTGGTAACTGATCGCTGTTTCTGCTTTCCTTCTGGATGGAAGCCCTGTTCTTGTGTTGCTCGCTGTGGCATCCAAACCTGGCCCTCTGGGTTGCTGAAGGAGAAAAGTGTCATGGGTGAAAGCTCTGGATTGTTTCTTCCTCAGTAACCCAGTGGACCTGGTTCTGATGTTACAGCAAACAACCCAGAGGCACAGGTGGTAGTTCCTGGGTTATTTTGTAAACTGGAAACAAAGCAGAACCAGAAAATGGTCATAAGGAAAGATGCTTACTCTCAAGCAGTTGCGCCAAGCCCCAGGTTGTCAACACAAGCAAACCAGTTCAGGGAGAGACTGGCTGAGAAATACAGAGAGCAAGCTCAGGTACATCTTGGATATAAATTGCTCTTCCACCAGGGGCAAAGAGGAGACAGGGTCTTTTTAATGCTGGGTAGTCATGCATTTTCTACAGCTAGGACCCATCTTTCCCACAGTATCAACTCAGCTCTATAGAAACAAGGAAATGTGCTCTTCAGAAACCCAACTACTGGGCAGTGTCCAGCAGCAGCACCGCTAACATAAATGGCACTGTGTCAGCATAAGAACCTTTAGCATAATGCCAACCATGCCTCTGGACATGAAAAACCCACCGGACCAGCAGATCGTGTTGGCAATGCACTAAAGGTCACTTACACTAGTACATATGTTAGGGGGAGCCTTGTACTGGATACTGCCCACTAAGTTTAGCATAAAATGCACCTGTAACAAAGGAAGGAAACCTATTTCACTTATTCTGGACCTCCCCAAAGCAGCACTGCAACAATAGTTTGTGGCCCCATCCAACCAATTCACAACGGTGATCAGATCAGCAGAACCTCCAGAATCCACAAACAGCTTCAGTGTGTACATACTACTTATGCACTGGCTCATTCACAGATTATTCATTTCTAAGTTGCACCAACAATTCCTTAAAATAGAATGTTCAAGACAAACAGTAAGACATTTCTGTTTAGTGATGTCATTTCTCATTAATTTAGAGTCAGTCTCTATTTTCAGTTATACCTTATCCCAAAGAGCTTACACCTCAAGAAATAAATGCGTTCAGTAACCTCTACTTCATTGCAAAAGCTCCTTGATGAATTAAGGAGGGTGTTCATTAGTGAGCAATTATCTGTGTCCAACACTAGCTTGCCATAAAACAATGATACAGAACAGAATGGGAAATAAAGATATCTGGTAACCCATAAATGGTAATGAAATGTTCCTTTTCTTCATTTACTAGTCAGCACAATTGCATGGCTTTTATTAATCCAAACTGCCCTCTAGTATCCAGTTTTCCTAATTAACTACCAAGAATCCCAACATGAATGATATTGAGATTGATGAATGGATGGAGAATTTGTTGCTGCTGCAATCTGAAAACCTAGAGCTAAACATTTGCAGGGGAAGCTAATGTCTGGAAGCAATTCCCGGATCACATTAACAGTCTCCCATTCAGGTAGCCAATGGATCTACATCTATCACTGTGGCATTTCCACTCGTCATGTGTTTGTTCAGCATCATGTCTGATTTGTTAGTCTTTAAGATGCCAGAAGATACTTGGTTGTTATATCTGAGTTAGCTGTCAGAAGATCTCGCAGCTGTTCTGAGCATCCCAGTGGAAGGCACATGAAAGGGATGGTATGTTTGATCCTTAGTTTCAGGCTCATTTCTTCTGTCTTGGGAACTTCGGTTCCCAAGCAACTTCAGCTACTTGCAAAAACATCCATTTTCAGTCATTTATACTTTCCTTTTCTCAGCCAGGAAGTATGGGAATGCCCACCTTTTTCATAAGGCATACATATTAACCCAGAGCAAAAAGGACATGTTGAAGTGCGAGTTACTTCAGTAACCGTGACCAGCAGAGCAATCGAAACACCTCTATCTTGTCTCTTCATACTTGATTTTTTTTCCAAAGCTAAACAGCTCCTTCTGCAACCATTCCTCATTGGTGAGCTACTCTGACCCCTTCATCATGTTAGTTGCCCTTTTCTGTACTTTTATCCAACTATAAAGAGTCTGCCCAAAGAGCTTAGAAAAGAAAGGACAAGTTTTAGTGCTGGCCTTGATGTTGGTAGCTATATGTCCTCAGAATGTCTATTTGCTTCTCTTGTCTGCTTGCATCTCCCTTGCACAAGCTTGTGCTCCTTTCTGTTTTCCTGATTTGGGCAAGATTTTCACTTCTTAAAGGATGATTTCTCCACAATAGCTTTCCTGACTCTACTTGTTAACCATGCTGGTGACCTTTTGGACTTGGTGCTACCTTTCCTAACTTGCGGTATGCATACTGTTTGCACTTGGTGCTACCTTTCCTAACTTGTGGTATGAATACTGTTTGCACTTCTATTGTTGTGGCTTTGAGTAAGCTCCAAGTATTTTGAATAGATTTAACCCTCTTGACTTCCCTCTTCAACTTCTTTTACTAGTTCTCCCATTTTAGAGAAGTTTCCTCTTTTAAAGTCAAACTTGACTGTGTTGGACCTCTTTAGCAATCGTCCACCTAACCATGTCTTAAATCTCATAGTGCTGTCGTCATACGCTCCCATTGATTCAGCAACATTTACATCCCATACTATGTCCTGGGCAACCCCACCTAGGATTAAATCCAGGATTGCCTCTCCTCTGGTTGGTTCCACGGCCAACTTTTCTAGGGCATCATCACATAGAACATTGAGAAATTTGACCCAAATTTAACCCAACAATACAGTATATCCTGGCTTTCTCTACAACCTGTATACATTCCATAAGAGAAACAAATGTACCAATGCTTTGGCAGAGGAAACAATTTGAAGAGCATTCCCAGAAGGCAGAAAGTTTGGGAACAGCTAAGCAGGGATGTCATGGATAGGGCATTTAGGACTTTCATTCATAGGATCGCCATATGTTGGAGTGAACCTGATGGCACCTGACAGAAACAAAGTCTGGAAAGCTATTCTAGGCCAGCAACACAATGGAAATATCATCCTTCCAGTCCGCCCAGAACTGCTGAAACAAGCAAACTGACAATCTCTTCCAATTTCATTAGTGGGTTGAAGGTTCCTGAGAATGGTGCCTATTAGTCTGAAAATATAATCTGAAGTAGCAGGGAGTTTCTTCTTTGAACAGCGTGCACTGCATCACAGGAAAAACAGGACACCCAGCATGTTGCTCTGACCTTATTTGACTACTGTTTTGACCATCACTTTTCAATGTTTCAGTGCTTCAGAGCTGTGGAAGTGAAGGCAGGGCTCTCATGAAAGAGAATTGAAGATGCACACCAACATATTGCAATTTGTTCCTCTGATAAGGGGCTTTTCTAAAATGTCCCATGCATCCCTAAAATGATGCAATGTCACACCATTCAAGAGCATCTTCTGTAGATGCTTGCTTTTTTCACTCTCTTCCACCTCCACTAAATGCATTTCTGATGGCAGCTGAGAGACCGAGAGAGAGACTGAGAGAAGGCGCTCAACACCCAACACTTAAAACCCAGCCAGACACAGATGGGAGAATGAAGTCTTTCAAGTAACCTGGTCCTAAGCCAGGTAGGGTCTTGCAGCTTATAACTAGCACTTTGAACTGTGGCCAGAAATGGGCCAGTGAACAGCCAGTGAAGCTGTTTTCACAAGCGGATCCTGTCTTCCCCACAGTGGTGCCCAGTCAGCAGTCTGGCCACAACTACAGTCCTCCAACAGTTTAACTCGATGCATTTTATTTGCAAGGCCTGTGATGCATTTTAACTCAAGCTAGTGGGAAAGTTGCCATCAGCTGCCAAAAGAATGCTCTACTTCCTCTTTTATGAGAGCAGAAGCCTCAAAGCCCCTTATGAAATAGTTTGTTCCTGTTATTCCGCACTTAAAGGATGGCTGGTCTTACTGTTAATGCAGGGAAAGACAACTGGCAGCCCAATGCTCCCTGACATAACTTCCAAGTCCAGTGCCTCTTCCCCTTTTCTTATGCATTTTATCTGCTTTCCTGCAAGCCAAGGCATAGGTGAAGTGACTCAGGCCAAGCTTTCTCTTTAGGATGCATCCCACCTGCCGACTCCTCTGGGCCAGGTGAGCCAAGACCCCGGGCAGATGGGAATGAGCAACAACAGTGCCTGCCTCATCTTTTCATGCTGGAAAAGAGAGGGTGAAATGATGGTGTCCACTTTAACTGGAGTGGAAGCAAGTCAGTGGGGCACAGCCAAGTTGTCAGCCCTTGCATAATTCAAATATGCCAGCTATTAAAAATTAGCTGCAAAGCAGTATGAGAAGTTGAGTCATGACCGGGAGACGTGCTTCCTTCTCAGCATGGTCTATATCACAAAGAGGCATGGAATGATCACAGGTTAATAGGACAGGTTAAGAAACTAGTGAAGGCAACGTGCGGAAGAAGCAGGAGTAGGGCTAGCAAGATCAGGCACACCAAAGCTTTCACAGCTGAGATGAGGAGTTAGAACAGTCAACAACAGGGAGAAGCTGCAAAGTCTGCTAGCTGCATTCTCTAGGTGGCCTCTCACATGGACAAGGAATCTACAGGAAAGGGGTTCTGTGTAGGGAGAAAAAGAAACCATGAGACAGGGGCATGCAAGGTGGAGATGGAGAAAAGATGATGGCAGGCAAGAGTTTGGAAATCAGCAGGAAATCACATCGAACAGCCAGCCCACGATTCCCTGCCCCTGTGCCGAAGAACAGCATCAGTGGGTAAGGAAAGCCATGCTGGGTCAGATCCAAGGCCCGCCCAGTCTAGCCCTCTGTTCACACAGTGGCGAGCCAGCTGCCCACAGGATCCCTCCATGAGGACAAGACCTCCTCCCGGCCAAGCTCCTCAGCAACTGGCACATGCAGGCATGCCACCTCTGCTGAAGGGGCTAGCAGATGGGCGGTGAGGCCAGTAGCCATGGATGGCCTCCTCCCCATGAATCTCTCCAGTCCCCTTTTAAAGCCATCCAGACAGAAGTTTACAAAGTTCTGTAGAAGGACTTCCTTGTATCTGTCCTGACCTCCCACCAACGTGCTTCATGGAATGACCCGGAGTTCTAGTGCCACAGAACAGGAAGAAATATTTCTCTCTCCACACCGTCTTTTATTTTAAACATTTCTATCCTGCCTCCTCTTACTTGCCTTTTTTCTAAGCTAAATTCAGAAACTTCCCTATTTTCTGGCTGAAAACTATGAAAGGCCAGCTTGCTATAGCTCATTCTGCCTTCCTTGTCACATCACCTTAATGGTGGGATTGTGTCTCTCTTAACCCAGCTCACCTGCTAATCAAGAGCTTCATAATTGTTCATTACAAAATTTGCTTTGCATTATGGCAAATTTTTCTGGGAATCGCTTCACAGTCAAGTTCATGCCCCCCCTGCTGGCACTGCAATGAATTTCTTCCTATTCCACCTAGTTAACTTCTCCATTACACTCGGGCTGCTAACTCAGACCCTCCTCTGTTCACGCATCTGTGTGCACTTCAACCTATCCATATATTTATTTCTCACTTTTCTACACTATCTGAACTCAAAGCTGCATGCAATTAAAGCAAACACTTGTAAAAAGAACAAATGTTAAAAACAGTAAGGCTAAACAGCTCTAAACTAGAGTGAGTTAAAAGTGGCAGAAGGAATATGTGTAATTAAAATTGCGCAGCCTGGATGGCAGTGTCATTACTTCCTTCAGGCAAGGTACAGAATTATTAATGATAAACAAGTTGCAAACAGGAACTTATCATGAGAAAATGAACTGGAGAAAGAATTCAGTAGAAACCACAGTAGACTTGAGCTTAAGGCTCTGACGGGGTGTCTTTCAGGTGGAAAAGGAAGGTATGCTGCAAACATTCCATTTTAAATGTTTAAATGTTTTGACAGAACGGTCCTAGCTATGAACTCTTGTTCTGTTCTGTAGAATCAGAATTTTACAGAATACTTTTACCTCCACATTCACACACAGATGTCCCATCATACAAATAAGAAAACACATTAAAAATACCTGTTCAGGTTGCTTTTCATATTACATTTTGTTATATAGAAATGGGCTTCAGCAACAGTACAATCATATGTATATCTGTTTGGAAGCAAGCTCCTTTAAGTTCAGTGAGACCCATTCCCAAATAGGCATTCCCACAGTGGTAATAATACTAGCTGGCAAGCGATAGATATGAGTGTTGAGAATCAGGATTGCTTCCTTTACTGCTGCTGATAAACTGATTCCCCACAATTAGCTGGAAGTGTGCTTAAGACAGTGTCTTCACAGAGCACTTAATTTAGCACTATTTTATCCAGAAAATGGACAAGATATTTCCATAAAGTTTAATCCCACCCAGCAAAGGCTCCCTGCAAGGATGACTGAGTTTCATCAGTGCAAGTTCTGCCCAATTTATTACTTCCTGTTCAGAGGCATTGGGGGATTAGTGATGAATTTCTCCCATCCCATGTGAGTCAGAGGATAGGGGTTAAATTACTAGTTTTCATTCAGTATGGTTTCTTTTCTTCCCTATGGAGCAAAATAGCACTATTTTACTATAAAAGAAACAAACAAATAAGGCACCCTCCGAATAATTAAACCCCCTTCCCAGCTTACACCTCCTGGAGGGAACAGAAGCAGAATAATTATGATGCAATCCCCCAGCTGTGCTGAACAGGAAGCAATAACAAGGATGGGAATGTTAAGGACGAAATGTTTAATTAAAAGCACAGTAAGCCTTAAAGAACTTAATAATGCTCTGCACACTGAACTTGGTTGTGCTAACAGTGCTTGTCTGAAAAAAATATACGGGGGGAAAGCCCAGAGAACACAGGGCAGTAAAAATCTGGTCACAAAAAATGTAAAGGGCAGAACAGGTTCAGCTTCGGCAACAGAAACGTGTCATTAGTAACATGGCGCTGAGGGAACAGTGATGTTTTTCCCAGGCTGGTTTCCTGAAGGGATATTGGACTGCCACCCAGCCAGCACCTCCGAGCTGAGGAAGGCTTGCAAAGTAAGTCTGGGGCTAAGGTGAATCTGAACGGAGGACATTCCAAACTATTCTAATGCACCAGCCCACCCCATCTTACCAAATACTTTTGTGAGGGGCTTTGAACCTTTTCAGTGGCAGCTGGGTAACAGAGGCATGATCCAAGTCAACAAACGGGGGGCATTTTCAGTCTTCACATTTGTTAGGCTAAGTTTAAAGCATGTATTCTTGAGAACGGTAACCATTCAGTAACACTAAATGCAATGAAGGGATTGATACCGAAATGAATCAGTATCAGTGATTGATTAGAGTTTGGAGAAAGTTTGGAGAAATCCCCATTGCCTTCATGTCTCCAGAACTAGTCGAATTAACTGAAATGCCCCAGGATTTGCACTCACTGGGTGTTAGTCTTGAGAGCTGCTGTGGAGAGTGGCTAAGAGAGCTATGGTTCAGGAAGACCTTAGCGCAAATAACCTGGTTTGCACATAATGCTAATCCATGCTCTGGGTTGTTGAATTCTGGGTTATATGTAAACTATGCAAACAATAGTTTGTTAAGAATATGTAAAACCAGAAAGGGAACCCATGTTTTTTCTTATGTCATGAACTCTGGCTTGTTGGGTTGTTATTACCTGTGAACCCAACTATGGTTGCTCATAGGTTGTTCCAGCAGGCTATAGAGACAGCAGGCAAACGTGGTTTAAAAAAAAGACTGTGGCCATTCAGTGTGCCATAATGCATTTGAGATACAGGGAGTCAGCAGGGTGGAAGTAACCCAGTGAGAGGAAAAACAATTCTGGTTTCGTTGATCAACTGCCAGGAAACTATGTGTAGGACAACAACCTACAGGTTAAATACAGGGTGGGTTAGCATTATGCGCAAACCAGGCTTGCAAGTGGCCATACATAACAACTTTACAGAAGCTGCTTCCTTTTTTCATTAGGTCCCATGACTAACAATGCTAAGGAAGTACCTGAGCCCTTTCCCTCACTAGTAACTTATGTATAAGGTTGGTAGAAAGCATTTCACTTCCTGGAAAAGGTCTGAAGGCAGGATTCCCACACCTCTCTCACAGGAAGAGAAACTCAGATTCCCAGTGAGAGTTCCCATCCCTTGCCCTTCCCTCAAGCCCTGCAGCAATTTAAAATGCTGGTAGAAGAATATTCCATGGTTGCAGAAGAATTAACCATGTATCATTAACCATCAATTAGATTAATTACAATTAACCATTAATTGTACCGTCAAACAGCCCATCAGACTTTGCTCGAAGGGCCTCTGGAACGCTCTCGGATCTCCACACCAGTCCAAGAGTTCTGTAGCTGCATTGTGGAAGTTGGCAGGATTCTGCAAGTGCTGAGAAAGAGAGAGGAAATTAAATATAATTAAGTAAAATTGCCTAAATGTATTTTGTATTAGCTATTTTATATGTACAGCTGGCAAAGGTTATATGCAATATCTAATTTTCTCTCTTGCTGAGGTGTACCCAAATCTGTAACCAATACTGGAAGTGAACTGTTTGACTTAACCTATTGGTCTGGGCAGAATGCCAACATTTTTGCCTTGGCAACTGGATCCCAGCAGTATGACTAATATTTGCTCAGCCTCAGCATTCCCAAATCCTAATTTTTGTCTGGCCAGTAGATCTCCACTAGAATCCTCACTTTCCAGGGACAAGAAATCCTGAAAACTAGTTTATGTTTCCTGACTGTAATGACTTCTAGGCTCATATGAAAAGTTATGAATAAGTTCATGTTCAGCAGCTATCTCTCCCCTCCTATTTTACTCATGATAATGATATGTAAATTACATTTAAACATGCAGCAGACTGGTTGAATACTTCTCTCTCATCCATCATGGCCTTCAGTATCAAACTACCCTGCTTCTCAATAGCCTGTGGGTTCCTCAGTGAGCATCATGGGAACTCAACCAGTGGCCCCTGGCTTTAAATTCATGTGCAGACACAGTTTATGAGGCAAACCTGGGTCTTTATGCCCTGGCCAGATCTGTGTGGAAAGGCTGATGGACAGCTAAAATGGGGAAGGAAGGGCCAGCTAAGCTGCCCTGAGCAAGGATACGACTGTAGAAAGGAAATTATAAACAGACAAAAGTGGGAAAATTAAATGGAAGGGTTCGTTAACAAATGAGAAAGAGCAAACCATTGCATCTAAGATTGCAAAATGATGCTGCCATGTCTGAACGTACGAAAAATGGCAGCGGAAGAGTCAACTTGCTCTTTTCTGGCAGGAGGAGAACTTACCCCCTGTTATGCCTTAGGGGGGAAAGTGTCTTTGCTCATGGCGGACACCCGCAGAGTGAATGCATTCTTTACTATCTCTTTTCAATCGTAAGAACATGGCTGATCACAGCCATGTTTTCAGATCTCCGTTCGGTCAAGAAATGTGGAGGATGCAAAGAATTTTGCCCCTTTGTCTCAAAATAATTTGCTTTTCAACCTCTTGTTTGAAGACCGCTGTGATGGATGGTTCTATTCCACCCATTTTCTTATCTAAGCATTTTTACAAGGACTCGGCATTCACCTCAGTGGCTACACTACTTTCAGGCTCACACATGTAATGCAAATAGAAAATATTCTGCAACAGACGAACATATTGCCCTATGTGAGGGCACAGCTGCTCTACAGAAGGTGCACGCAGGTATTTACCTGCAGGTCTGCCAAACTGAAGTGGCAAGAAGGATGCGGGCGTGGAATGGAGACCCACCCCCAAATATCCCTGGGCCCCTGGCTGTCCCAGTAACGCTACTGATCATATAGAAATGGATTGAATGGACTAAAATAAGCAAGAGTGTCATGGGGTCAGCTGGCCATGCTTATAGCGCCCCCTTCAGGTCTTTGTGCACAACAAGCAAAGGTCACCCTCTGTGTGTGTGCGTGCGTGTGCGTGCGCGTGCGCGCATGAGCGGCAAATGCTTGTAGATGGCAATACTGAAAAGAAACGCAGGAACACTAGTTCCAGGAGGCAGACGATAAGGATTTATGAATACAGAATGCACTGCTCTATAATTAAATTTCAATTCCAAATATTCTTGGTGGAAAGCCATGGTCGTTAAACTGAAATAAACTGAAACAAAACTGAAATAAATTTCTCATGTAGATATGCACAATATTTGTTACTTGGAAAGCCCATCAGCATCACTGCTCACATGAGAACAAAAATCTACCACAATAACATGGTAACTATGGAAGCATCAATATTTTTCCAAGTTCTATACAAGAGAAATGATTGTTGATTTATTTATTTATGGATTTATATCCTGCCTTTTTCCTACAAAGGGCTCAAGGCAGCTTACATCATTCTCCTCCTCCATCTTATCCCCACTACAACAACCCTGTGAGGTAGGCTGGGCTGAGGGTCTGTGACTGGCCCAAAGTCACCCAGTTGGCTCCAGGGCTGAGTAGGGACTAGAACCCAGATTGCCTGAGTCCCAGTCCCATGCTCTGAACCACTACACCACACTGGCTCTACACTGGCTGATTACTTCCCCCTCCAACCAGGGACATGTCTCTACCTGAAACTCAACCTTAGTCACAAGCTTAACAGGTATCTTTAGGGAAGCCAGCAGTCCTCCTGCACACCAATCTGAAATATGAGAGTACCAACACTAACCAACCTTACAGGCATGCGAAGATTATTCAGATGGCTTGGACAAGATTGGGAACTGAACATTCAGAACGGCACCCACTCACAAGACAGCCTTGCTGTGGTTAAACAACTCGTGACCGGCCATCCAACTATGTAAAAACCCCAAACACATGCAAAATTCCTTGAATTTTTGTAACATTCCATTTAAATGCTGCTATTACGTACATATATTAACATATTTTTGGGGAAACTTTTGCTTCCCTTCGAAGCAGTGCCAATTAACTGTATAAATTGAGCCCTGCACTATGAGTACACAAATGTTTCCGTACAGATATTAAAAAGTGAGATGTTGATTAAAGTCAGCGCTGTCCCACAGTAGCTACTTAACAGAGAGTCGCACTCCACACTAATTAAAAAGTTGTTCTTGTAGTATGTACTTGGCATTAAAGCTTGTTTGGAACACTCCGGGCTTTTTCTGTTGAAAAGGCACGGTGCTTAATACTTTGCTAAGCCTGTCCGAGACCGTGTTACCCCAGTCAAACACTTCCACTGTTTACGGGTTTTGTGTTACACATGTGTGCCATGCTTCCCAGCATTCAAATCCCTACACCGAATAGCTGAAACAGTCCATTTCCCTCCTACGTACACAATCCAGGGTATGGGAAAGCAATAAATAGCAAAATAAGCAGTGATGTGGATAGAAATGCAAAATTTCTGCAAATTTCAAAGCTAGGGTTGCGGGGGGGGGGTGGAATTCTGTGTTTTCCAGACCAAAACCTGAAATTTTGGGAAAGAGGAATGAAAAATATGTACTTTTTAAGTGCTTTTACAGAACTAAAGCTGTGTTTCTTAAGGAATGTGGCATGTTATTATGTATAGTTTGGTTTGCTCAGGAAATTATGTTTTGTATGTATATTGAATATAGAACTATAGTTTACTTAGTAACAAATTTAATAATTGGATTGACTTCCACTTTTTCTTTTTTGTACTTAACAGAGCTTCAAGATGCTTAACTTTATGGAATCAAATATCTCTATATAAAAGTATTCCAAATGGGTATTTTTAGAAATCATTTTGGGAGAATAAAGGTCAGGTAGCAATTTATGAACATCCTGTCTTAAATATTTTATTCATAGTAACTAGAAAAATACCCATATATTCCAGTTTTTGTTAGAATGCCTTCTGGAGAAACTGGATAAAACCCATTTTTTGCCACAGAGGTTCATCTCTACTTGTGAGATGTTAGAAAATGTTTGACTAATGTTTCCATTAAAAAAAAGCTTCTAAAAATGCATTGTGTCACGAAATTACTCAATAACATAATGAATGACCATAATACAGGTCAAACCAGACAACTGAAATGGAAATATTGCTGAAACCAAAACTGAAGTTGCCGTTAAATTATTTCCATGTGACTTTGCCAAGAAAGGGCATGAACACAGATGTGCCAGTATGCCAGTGAGTGCTGTTTTCGGCATCATGATGATCTATTAAAATTGAGCTATCATGTCTTAAAATCTTGTAAGCTGTCCCGAGACATTTGTAGGGGATGGGTTAGAAAAGCTTTTAATAACTAAACAAACAAACAAACAAATATTTACAGTAAAAATTTTTCCAAATGAATCACTGAATTGGTTTGCATATCAACCTCATGAAGCACACCTTATTGTTTTCCAAATCAAATGTTTCAGTTCAGCTACTATTTCTTGTTCTGTTTTCAAAGTCTGCTAAAGTCTTCTTGAAATTTAGACAAGGATCTGATTATTCCCCTTGGATACAGTTGTGAAATCATAAACTTGAAGTCCTTGAAATTCAAGATTCAACATGATGTGTCCACATCTGCAATGCTGATGGGAAGGGACAAGGTGAAAGTCAGGAAGAGGATGTTTTGAATGTATCAGGAGAAAGCCAAGGACAAACCGTCAGAAAGCAAGGGAACACACAAGACAGCTTTCAGGGAGTTATTAAGCGAGAGCAAGGCAAAGAAACAGAGAAGGGTCAGCAAAGTGAAGAGACCAGAAACTTTAACTATGCCAGAACTGCAGAGTATTCCAACAGGGTCTCTGGGAGTCTAGAGCCAATGAAATCAAGCAAGCTCTTGCAGCCTCAGATGAGTTCACATTCCAAGATCAAACAGAGCTGAGGAGGCATAACTGTCAGAGACTGGGAGCATGCAACAGAATTTACTGGGGAAAAAGCTCCATGGAAATACGCTTCAAGTGGCATCAAGCACCTATGCACTAGTTCTGAGGACTGATAAAAACAACACTTTTGTTGACTGAAATCTGAAGGGCATCTCAGAGGTATGTGGAGAACCTCATTATAGTCTAGAAGGCGGTTTGAGATGTGTTGCAGGAGACACTTCTCTAAGGAGAGACGACAATGCAGATGATACCACATGCCGAAACAATTTAGTTTCTGCACAAGAGCAATAACAATTCAGAGTAAGGGACATTCAGGGTTCAAGTTATCTCATCAAGGCACAAAGAATGAATGCAACAATATGGAAGCAAAATAATCTCACCACAAGCTCTCTGGGTAGTTTAATTTGCTGCTAAAAAAATAAGTGCCAAGTCTTAATTTAGAAAAATGCATATTTTAGGGTGGAGTTTTCCTCTTCTTTTCTTTGAGATGTGTCAGACATGGGAGCCATTGAACTAATTTGCCACATCTTAACTGCTCCTCTAAAGGAATGTCATGTAAATATGGCCTGTTTGAGGAGCAAACTACTTAACTATGCTAAACAAGTTA